CGCCGGGCCTCTAGTAGTGATTATAAACAGCTCCAACGTCCTAGGATTTTCAGAGAATGGGGAAAGTGGTAGCAGGGTCTTAAGAGCATCTTGAAAATAGCGGAAGTCACAAGGCTTTATGAACGGCACAGGGAGGCTAATAAAGAGTTTAAATGTAATTAAGTCCACATTCTAGAATTAAATATAACAGCTGTTTGTTACTGTTACTCAAACTCAATTTGCATCTTAGAAAAAGTTAACAAAGTGGTCTTTGCATGTGAAATGTGACAGGTATAGCCTATACACACACACACACACACACACGCACACACACACAGTCACACACATCACATCACATACTTTCCTCAGTTTTTATGGAGCACAAGTTTTTAAAAATAATAGTCTCCAAAAGCTTGTGGTCAAAATGCCTTTGGCTTACAAAAGCACCAAATTCCACTTGACTGCAAATTGTCTTCCTATTTCAAGTGAAATCCATTGCAGTTAAACTGTTCCCCAAATACAGGGGAAACTTGAATGTGCTCTTTGGACTGTTTTAAAACACATTGTATGCGGGAAACGTATTTATACGTTTTACTTATTTATACGTTCTACCAGTGTAGTAGAGCGCGGGACACGTATTAATACGTTTTTTATAGACTAGCGGTAGAATGCGGGTAACGTATAAATACGTAAACTAAAGTTATCGTAATTTTACTGAAGGTTGCCATTTGCGCAAAAAATTAGCAAAAATGGCCCGCGCCATCTGTTAGCGAGCAATAAAAACTACCCGAAAACAAGTGGTCAGTGGGGAGGTTGAGAGAGTTTCCAGGAAGTCTATTTCTAGGGTTTAATAAATTTTAAAAGGGGCGCGGGGGGTGGGGGGAAGATTCTTCTGATTAAATGGTGTGTTGGAAATAAAACTTAACTGTATCAGGTATGTCTCCCTTACCTGCTATGTTCATGTGAGAGGGCAAACACGGAAAATAAAACCATCTTGCAGACTTCGCCAAAATGCGCACTTCAATCCCTAGAAGACCAGGCTCTCCCACTGTCCCGCCTTCATCCCCAGTGCATTTAAGCGCCTAGGAGGGAAGAGGGGTGCCAAAGAGGGGGACCCTAACAGCTACCACTACGCGCCAAGGAAGGCGCCCTTTCTCTCTAGTTATTTTCCGCGCGAGGTGAGCGGTTTTGAGTCTTCCTCCGTGTGTGCGTCTGGAGGTGGAGAGCAGGGGAAGGAGATGAGCCCGCTGTCACCCGGGAAAGATGAAGAGGAGGGAGAGGAAACAACGAAGGAAGGGGGCGCCTGAGTACCCGCGGGGACTCCCACTTTCGCGCCAGGCATGCAGTGAACAGCGCGTCCCGCACTGGCCACCCTCTCCAGGGAGCTGCGGGGCCAGCCCGGCACAGGGCACAGCCCGCGGGGCGCAGCGGAGGCGGGAGACGCGATCTGCAGAGCTAAGATCAGGGCCACTCACCGCAGCTCGCCAAGCCCAGCAGCAGCAGCACCAACAGGGGCCACATCTCGCCAGCGAAGGGGGAAGGGGCAGAGGCTGCTGCCATCACCACCAAGGCAGCATCTAGCAACCACTGACGTCACAGTCAGAACCCTGCCTTGCTATGCATCACAAACAGGACCCAATGCCCAGGCTGCTGGCAGCGCTGGCTGGGGCGCTCTGGCCATCTCATACCGGCTCCCTGCCCAGCCAAAGTTGCTGCTGACTGCAGTCCCTCAGATTCCGGGACTCCTTCATATTCCCTGAGGCTCCTCGGAGACCCTGAGCTCCCTCCATGGAGGTGGCCAATGCTGGGCTTCAAGGGCAAAACTTTCCTTGCCAACCACCCACCATCCCTGCCCAGGGTCCTGCCAACCACCATCCAAGCCCAGAGAGGCTTGGAGTGTGTGCCCTGGCTCACTGGGTCTTCACTGACCCCGCCCCTTTCCAAGGTTCCTGCCCTCCTCCTTGCTCCATCCTGGACCCCAGGATCCTCCCTCCACTGTCCTCTCTTGTTTGAAAAAAAAAAAAAAAGGATTGAAAATGTGGCTACAAGCCACAGTATAAACAAGGCCTTCCTTTAAAAAAAAAAAAAATTATCACAGTGACATTGGTTCACAAAAACATACAGGTTTCAAGTGTGCAACTCAATGAAATATCATCTACACTCTGCATCCTTCTGTCCCCATTCCCTCTTCCCTCTGACAACCTCCACCTACACTCCCCCTTCCCTTTCCCCTTTACCTCTGGCTATCATCACACAGTGGTCTGTGTTATGCATATAGAGCTCCAGTGGTGTCTCACTGAATGACACAGGCACAACATTCAAACTGAAGCAAAAGACCTTGTAAAGCTGCCAGTAACATTTATCCTAAGTGATGAACTCTCTTGTCACAAAGTCAGTCTCTGGTGGCTACTCTAATGGGCTGCATAGCCTGTCTGCTCCTTTGGTTGTTTTTCTCTTACCTGCTGGAGAAGAAAGCAATTTCCCACCACAATACCCCACTTCTCCAAATCCTCTACCCATGGCATCTCCTCCATCGACTCCATCCTCATAGCAATAAAACCCAGCAAATAAGATTTCCACTCTCAGTGCATTATATACTACGTAACTTTTCATGGTTTCCTTGTGTAAACCTCTTTCCCTCAACATTATCATTTCTTTAAAATCGGAGAGTTTTTTAAGTATTCCCTCCTCTAAGACTTCCCATTCAACTGAGCAAACAGAAGGAGTTTAATAAGGCAAGCATTGCTCCAGTGAAATTTGATAGT